CCCCAAAACCCCAAAACCCCAAAACCCCAAAACCCCATTTATGCTAAAATTTATTGAATTAATCATCTTGTCCATTGATCTCGCCTGCTAGCTTTTGAAGAATATAGTCTGTGCCTCCCAAGTGAAGGATAACGTCAACAAATTCTCATCTGTATCTCTGCTTGGTACGGTTCACTTTGATGTACTGGCAGAAGAGCTGGTCCTGAGTCTCAAATTCCTCGTCAGTGAGAGAAATATCTGAGAGGTCTTCATCGCCGTCATCCTTCTTCTTCTCTCTTTTGACATTCTGTCCTTTAGGCTCAATTTTACCAAACTTTATCAAATTGTCATTATTCAGGTTAAAGGAAATAGCCTTTGCTGGATCATTCAGTTTGTTCTGAAGCATATCAGTACTAGGAAGCTTCAGCTCTTCAGCCTTGAATGAGGAAGCTGGTGTGCTTCCATTAATAGAGCTTTTCACATCCTTCATTGACTTCAGTTTCAGCCCACTAGAACTTCCTTGGGAAGCAATAGCGCTGGAGGTTCCTATTGGCTTAAATTCAAAAGCACCAGTAGGCTTTAAAGCAGATTTAGGTGCACTACTCTCCCCTGCAGGTTGTTTGGGAGACTTTGAGGATGCATTAGGGGTACCACTTTTCTGCTGGGTCATGAATAGCTTCAAGTCAGGATCTTCCTCTTCATCATCTTCTCCTTCACCATCCTCGTCATCATCATCGTCACCACCTCCGTCATTCTTGAATGATTTCGGAGCGTAGTCAGGTCTATTAAACGGAAGCTTGGCAGGGGTTCTCTTGTTAGAATTACTTTCCTTCTTCAGCTTTTTCTTCTGTGAAATCTGATTTGGCTTGACTAATTTGTTATCCTTGTTATCACCTCCAAGGCTGCTGACTATTCATTAGCTCTCATATGACCTACTTGAAGGAGTGTTGGCTGCTAAGGCATTCAACCCGATGTTAACATCTCCTGTTCCTGGAAACTTTTGGAATGCAGAATTCATAGCATTTGGCATGAAACTTGATCCAGTCTTAGACCTTGTATCTCCAAGATAAGTACTGCTAGGCTCAAGAGTACTCTTAGGGTTCATGCCAGGTGCTCCTCCTGGTGGGAACTCTCCAGGGTTCCCTTGCCCAAGCAACGGGATCTTGTTGTTTTCCAAGCTATCATCTGGATTAAATTCATTATTTAGCCTATATTTCAGTGAAAACATGCTCAAAGAAAATGAAATAGCCAGAGTAAGAAGCCTTACCTTCATTTTGAGCGAGTCAATATGCTTCCTGTTTCTCTCGTATACCTCGGCCTGATCAGTCTTAGCTACCCAGACCTATAAAGTGTCAGCTGAGACTGATCTAACCTAAGATTTTGACATAAATTGCTAAAAAAATTCACCGAAATTTCGTCCCGGATTTTTGCTTGACGAGGCTTACGAATTGTTGGAATTTTTAAAGAGAAAACTTATGTAAATTAATTATATTTTAAGATTTTAGTAACTATGGCAGATGACTAAAACGGACAAAATCTAATGACCAAAATAATAACCAGCAGCCCCTCACCTCTCAGGAGGATGGAAACCAGAAATGCCATCTTTAGCTGCAAACTAAACATGAAGCCATGGCTTGCCAAGAAGATTAGAAAATTAGCTAAGCTACAAGGTGAGTACCTGTCTGAGCTTCTCATGGACTCTATCTGAGACTCCATTCTCTGCAAAGTGCTTCTTAGTGTTTTCCAGTACTTTCGCTATCACAGTCTTGTAGAACTTTTCTGTCCTTTCCATCTGAGGATTGAGGGCCGAATGGGCAGTAGGATATGATGGTTCCATTATCCAATAATATAAATTTATGTTAAAATCCTCAACTTTATTTAAATTGGCAGGGGTTTTGGGGTTTTGGGGTTTTGGGGTTTTGGGG